TTGGCTGGCCACCGATGACATGGAAGTGGAGTGGCATAGACATGCCCCCATCGATCCATAGCCGCTTGAGCCCCTGCTTGTGATTCTACCTTGATTGTGCTTCTGACCCACTTGTTAGCCCGGCTAGCCAGCGGGTCTCCCCCTTTTTCTATCTTTTTATTTTATTTTATTTTATTTCATTTATCTCAAAAGTAGGATTATAAAAATTATATAAATTCACATAAAATCACACAATTAGCCAAAAAATCATATTAATTAACTGAAAAGTACTTTTCACAATTTAACTCAAATATAAGTCTATTTATCATGAGTTAAAACTAAAACTATATTATTGAATAATTATTAACTCATAGTAATAAAGACTTATCAAAGATCATCAAGATCATGTCTCATTTTTTATCTATCTCCTAACCTATTTGCCTTTTTCTTCAACTTGAATTTCTTCACTATCTTCTTAAAAAATATTAGAATTCAGATTTCCACCATTCCTCCTTGGGGATTCGACCCTTTACTTACAGTGTACTTGTATTGAGTGATTAAGCTGAATTATAAGTATTATTGCATAAGTCTAAAAAGCAAAACAATGACATAATTCCTTACAATTTTCAGACTTATCACTTACTAAGCAAATATTTAAGGAAAGAATAATCTAATAATTTTTCTAGCTAAGAAATAAGATTTGAATTTATCTAATACAAAAATAATAGTTAACAACTCTTTTTCTGTGGTAGTGTAATTTATTTGGGCTTTGACTAATGACTTACATAGTAAATTTCTACTAGTTTCTTGTCAATTCATTGACCTAGCACCGCTCCTACTCTAAAATCTGAGGCATCACACATTCGTTCAAAAGGGAAGCTCTAATTTGATGGTCGTAAAATTGGTGCCTTTATAAGTACCCTCTTAATCTGTAAAATCTCTTGTTGACTTGTAGCATCTACTTCAAAATTAACATCCTTAGAAAGTAAGTTAGTAAAAGGTTTAGAAGCTCTAGCAAAATTTTTAATAAAGCATCTATAAAAATCAGCATGATCTAATAAAACTCTCAACTGTCTAATGGAATTAAGGAGGGGGAGATTTTGGATCACTTCTATCGTGGCCTTGTCTACCTCTAATCTAGGATTGCTGACTAGATGGCCTAGCACCACTCCTGTTTATATCATAAAATGAGATTTTTCCCAACTCAGCACTAGGTTCTTGTCTACACACTATTGCAACTTTGCTAAATTGCAAGACCTTTGCTAAGTTAGTTAAAAAAGACTCAAATAATTGACCAAAAATTAAAAACTTATCCATAAAAAATTCTAAACACTTACCAACTAAATTTGAAAACATGGTAATGGTGCTATTTGATAAAACAAAATTGAGGGTTGTTGAAATGTAGATGATGCATTACATAAATTGAAGGACATTCTCCTAAAAGCATAAGTGCCAAAAGGACATGTAAAAATAGTCTTTTCTTGATCATCAAGATTTACAACTATGTGATTATAATCAGAATATTCATAAAAAAAAATAGAAAGAAATATTTATCAGCTAATTTTTCTAAAATCTATTCAATAGAAGGTAAAGGGAAATGATCATTTTTTGTTACAACATTTAACTTCCTATAATATATGCATTCTCCAAGTAGACGGTAATCTAGTTTGAAATTTTCTCTTCTTTTTCATTTATGGTCACTATGATTCCTATTTTCTTAGATACTACATGGATAGGGCTTACTCATGGGCCATCCGAGATGGCATATATGATCCTTGCATCTAAAAATTTCATAATCTCTTTCTTCACCACTTCTAACATTTTAGGATTCAATTGTCTTTGGGCTTCTATAAATGGTTTGATATTTTCTTGAATAACAATTCTGTACAGACACGTGTCTACACTAATGCCTTTGATGTCTGCAAGAGACCAGCAGATTATTGCCCTATGCAGTTGAAGAATATTCATTAGCTATTCTTCTTGTGCTGATATTAAAGATGAAGAAATGATGACAATAAAAGTGTCATTTTTACCAAGAAATGTATATTTGAGAGTAAATTACAATGTTTTTAATTCAAGCTGCTGGTCATAAGTATGCATCAAAGTATCATGAATTTCATAATTATCATGTAGCTCATTAGAAAATCTTGAAGATTGTGAAAAATCATCATCAATTTTTTTTCATATACATCTACAAAGCAATAGTCATTTCATTTTTCAGGATATTTCAATAGCTTAGAAATATTTATTTCAACATTTTTTTCACCAAATTTTAACTCTACTTTTCTTTTTTCTCAATCTGTTGTGGCTTTGACTGTTGCTAAGAAGGGTCTACCAAGAATTATTGAAGCATGATTGATGTTTTTAGTCATCTTCATAACAGCAACAATAAAATCTACTAGAAAATAACAACATTTAATTTTAACTATGACATCTTCTAATAATCCATATGGTTACCTAATCAACCCATCAGCTAGTTGCAGTTCTAAAAGAATGAGTTATAACTCACTCATTTTGAATTTATCATATATAATTTTGGGAAAAATATTGACACTTGCACCTAAATCAAGCAATGAACAGGTGAAAATCATACCTCCTATTTTGCATTTAATCAAAGGTGCTTGGACTCTTATGCTTTTTAAGAATATGATTGAGTAATATGAAACTAATAGTTTCAGATAATTGAATGTGTTTTTACTTTCTACTAGGTGTACATAATTCTTTCAAAAATTTAGCATAGGATGGTATGTGTTCTATGGCATCAACTAATAGAATATTTTTTTTAACTTGCTTGAATAATTATATCAAATGCTCACCAGATGGGTTGAGTTTTTGGTTTTATATTTTCAGAGCATCAGGAAAGGGGACAAGTGGTATATATCCCTCAAGATTAGGTTCATCCTTGCCTGGCTCTTCCACTTTTTCATGAGTTTTATTTATGCTGGATTTTTCTTCCAATTCGAGTTCAACTTCTGGTCAGTTAATTCATATGGGTCAGGCAAATTATTTCCATTCCTAAGTTTTGAAATAACATGCACTGTTTCTAACTCTAATTTTTACTATTTACTTAATGAATATAATGTTTATTTGTAGAAAAATGAAAAAATTGAGGATTTATAGTAGATTAAGTAAGAAATTGACTTGCTTCATAGTCACTTGACCCTACCTCAACTATTTTACCTTTTTATTTGTTGGGTGTGGTATTGTTTTGTTGTGACTACCCTCTCATCATCATCTTCATTCTTTCCATTTTTGTCCTCAGCTCATGCATTTGCTCCCTTTGCTCCTACAACATTTGCTTCAATAATTTATTAGTAACCAAGGCAGCTTCATTTTGAACGGCATGGGTTGCGTGAGTGGACTGAAAATTCTGTGGGCAGGAAATTGACTGAGAGGGAGCTTGTTGCTGAAAATTTCAAGCTATTTGAGCGAGAAATGATGGTTGATAAATATTATCATTTTATTTTTTATAATTATGATTTTTGTAGTTGTTATAGTGTGTTGTGTGAGTAGGAGGTTGAGGTGTCCTCTCTGGCCATGAGTTTCCACCAATTGGTTGAGGGTGCCTAACTCTATCATTCATAACCATATTAACCCTTCATATCTAGGACACTCTATTTCTACATGCTCATAATTAGAACGAAGGGCACATGTGGGCCATATCTTGGTTATGTATGGATTGTTCAAAAATTTGAACAGAAAAATAAGAATAACCAAAAATTTAAAATATGATCCAGCATAAGTACTGTAATTAATTTTTTTAAACAATGATCAAATGATACACCATAAATAGAAAAATTATCCATGAAGATTTCTAAAAAATACCAATCATGTTAGAAAAGATAGACATCATGAACTGATGAAAAGTGGCTGGAGGCATTACATAGTCTAAAGGGCATTCTCTTGGATGCATAAGTTCCAAATGGGCAAACAAAAATTGTCTTTTATTACTATCCGAATAAATAATTATTTGATCTGATTATATCCTGAGTACTCATCTAGGAAAAAAAAATATTTTTATTCTACTAATGTTTATAAGATTTGATTTAAAAATAGAAGAGGAAAGTGATCTTTTCTTGTTACTGCATTAAGCCTTCAATAATCAATGCACACCCTTCATCCTATGGTTAATATTATTGGTACTTGATAAGTCTTCATTATCATGAGTTAATAATTAGTAAATAATATAGTTTTAGCCTTAACTTATGATAAATAGAATTATATTTGTGTTAAAGTGTGAAAAGTATTTTTCAATTGATTAATGTGAATTTATCAGTAATTATGTGATTTTATACAAATTTATATGATTTTTATAGTTTTACTTTTGAGATAAATGAAGAAAAAGAAATAAAAATAAAAATATAGCAAAATAGGGGGGACCCGTCGGTCAGCTGGGCTCGCAAACAGGTCGGAAGCACAGTTGCGAAGGAGTTGCGAGCAAGGGCTCGAGCGGCTAGGACTGATAAGGGCACATGTACACCACTCCCCCCTTCCACGTCACTAGTGGCCAACCGGCTGTGGGGTGACGTGACTTAGTTGTTGTATAGTAAATCACGTAAATTTAAAATTTATAAAACTAGAAAATACAAATTTTTGGATATTTAGAAGTATTTCTGAACAAATATATCAATTATAATTCAATAAAACTTTTAAAATAGTGATACTTTTCTAGGTGGATCATAGGAATGTAATATAATATTAGGTAATTATCTAGAAATTTCCTCAAAGAATATTATTTTTTTATGAGTTTTATACTAGGAAATAAAAATTAAATATATTTAAAATTTACAAAAAACAGAAATAAGGGTGCAGACATCAGGATGACGTCAGCGCCTAGCGAACGCGATTCTTACGTAAGCGATTACAGACAATTTAATTGATCAAATTAAGATCTGCAAAAGTCGAAAGAATCGTAATTGAATGAAGTATTTCTTGGTAAATTTAAATCACACAAATTATCACTAAATGAAGTGAAAATTAAGTTGAAAGTAGAAAAATAGAGTTCCGGTGTCACGGCAGCAATGCGTCGGCGATGCATCGGAATCTTGAGCATTCGGGAGGATCGTCGTGTAGTGTCTATGGCCTCGAAGGCTCTTCTTGGACAAGGACGATGTGGGCAATCTCTAGATCTCCTTGTGAAGTCTAAAGATCAATAAAATGAGTCGTCGAATCGTCTCCAGCAGCTATCACCCAGTGGAGCAAAAAAACGGTGACTTTGCGGCTCTTCGGCGGCTGTCACCTGACGGAGAGGAGTTGGATGGAGGTGGGGTGCGTGTCAAGGAGCTTCATCCTCACGTCCGCACAGCAAGAAGAGACTTTTCATCGCATCCGGTATGTTCTCAGGACGTGGCGACTCATCTCTCAGCGGATCGTCCTCTTCCCAATGACAGCTTGTTCGTTGATCAATCAGAGGTGCTTTACTCAATGGATTCACGATCTTTTTATCACAAATCGTTTGGTAATTTTAGTAACAATGCTCTGCGAATTGTGTTGACGAGATTTTCGCCAATGATTCAGTGATTCTGATGACTTAATCCTTCACTAGCGACCTACAAGAAAGTCGCGATAATCAAATAAAAAATATGAGTTTTGGCTCTAAGAGGATTCGAACCCGCACCGGTTGCCTGCCTGCATGAGAGAGATTGACATAATCTCTTTCAAATCTACAAACAGCTAGATGGTTGTTCACACACAAAACACATTAAACTTGGAAAAACTTACCTCAGCTTCTATATTTTTCTAAGGCTAGGTAATTTCCTCCTTGAGTATGCTTCTCCAATAATCTAGACTACGAATCAACACTTGAATCAACCGAAAACACATCTAAATCGATGCGAAACCTCAAAGTTATTTCATTCAAGCCAACTAAATGTCAAGGTATTCAAAGTTAGGTTTTTCACCCCTAAATGGTGGCATAAATGTGTAAGGGTTACACAAGGGTCTGAGATTACACATGTGGGGCTGATCTATACCTTTGTGAACTGATATATCCTAGATTATTTGATCTAAGGTTGTGAATGAGTGAGGGGTTTTCCATGTTTTTGGTCGAGATGAGATGAGATGAGAGTTTATTTCCTCTTGGGTTAATTTGAAGTGTTGGATTTGAAAGTCTTTTCATAGCTGTAGGATTTTCCTTAATGTTGAGATCCATTGCACCCCTAGTAAGTATGCTCCATCTGCCATCAATCGTGCAGACACTCTTGATGGCTTCGAATCTCCTCCTTTGGTGATGCTCCATGTTAATGCTTTGGCCCTTGGTTATGTTGCATTATCTCCAGATCAAATCTCATCCATAGAAGTGTATATGACTTCCTAAAAATCATAAAAAGATGTCAAAAATTCTTGAAATTTTCTTATATTAGTAAAAAAATCAATGATGATGGTTAAACTCAGCAAACAAATTCTGAAAAATTCTCTAAAATGTTAAAACTTTATAAAAATTCAAAAAAATAAGAAATATTTATTTTTTAATATGATAGCATACTAGATCATAAAATTTAAGCTCTTGAATAGGATAATTCTTTTATTTTCACATGATAATCAACATGTTATCAGCTTGTAGAAAGTGTTGTTATCTGAGGAGAAGTGATCGCTCAAAAATGTCATAATTAAGGTGTCAAAAAAAAATTATAATGAAAATTTGGATGTCTACTTAATGATACTAATCAATATAGTTTAAGGAGTATCCAAGTCAAACCACAAGGAATTATCTAAACTAAGGAGACATTTAACTTCTGATCATGATTAAATTTTTGCTGAATAATGAGATGAGGAGATAAAAAAGAGTTGACTTAGGCAAACTAAGGGGAGGGAATAGATAAATCATCTTTTGATGATTTTTGAATCACCAAGAGAATGAAAATTAGGTGAGAAACAAATGGTGAAATGTGGGATGATTGTGAATTCCTTAATCCTAATGTGCATAAATAAAAATTCTAATATTTCTAGATCTTCTTATGTTAGTTAGGAGATCAATAGAAAGACTAAATGAAACTACTCTACTCTTAAACTACTCCATAATCTTTCTTTATCTCTCTCTACTTCTAGTTAATACTCAACTTTGATAAATCAGTGCAAAATAACATGGAAGGAGAAGGATCAAAAGAAGGAGATAAAGTATGCTAAATCTGTCCTACCTTGCTCACTCTTGGAAATGTAATCAATCTTGATAAATTAAGAGATCCACATAAACCAAGGGAAGTGAGAGAAGAGTTGAAGGGTTGGATTATATCCTATGATTGACCTAGCGTCATTCTAGGCATCAAAGAATCAAATCCTTACCTACTATTAATTTGGATCAACTCTTTATCACTAAGATGTTCTTAAGAAGAGAATATAATAAGAAAATAAAATTTATTCATTAAAAATGAAATATAATACGTAATGAAAGAAAAAATACATGAAAGATACCACATTTCCTAGATTGGCTCATTTGGAGTGCTCAAATGGATTTGTCCTTAGATTTCCTAGATTGGCTCAAAGAGTGAAGTTCATGGAGATGTCCTCTTCTCCCTTTTGAGTCCCCCGCTCCTATAAACAAAATGTCCATCTCTGTCATCTAGGTGGCTTTTTATTTTCCCCTTAGCATGCCCATTCTCAGCCCTTGGAACCTGGGGGAGAGTGCACAACCCTTGGATTAGATTTCTCTCTCAAATGGTAGCTATGTTTGGTGGCACAAAACATTGGAACCACCTATGCCAACAACACTACAGTGCATGCCGGCATGACGTCGGTGCACACTAACTCAATGCCCGTGCGTGGCAACACAATGCCCACGTGCATTGGAATGGCACCTGCACATGATAGCATGGTGCCTGCACACATCGACATAGTACCCACACTCAAAGGCGGCATGGCATGACATGTGCAGGTGTGACAGCTATGTTTGGCGGCACAAAACGTGCGCATGCCAGCATGTGGCATGGTGACATTACGCACAACTCTGATGTGGCAACTCAAAGCCACAAGGGCAGATGGTAATGTCACAAGCATGACATCATCCAAAGGAAAAGTAGATGACATCACTATCCCAATGTCAGCTAAAGTGGGAACTCTTAATCTCATACTATAAATGTGAGGAAAGCTAACCAAGAGATCATCTATAAAGGACCCCTAGCCCCATGTATAAAGCACCTTTTGCTATCAAAGATTGTCTATTGGGTCACATTTCGAATCGTTGGTATTAGATCACCTAGTGTTTGACAAAGGAGTTGTGTAAAGTGGCCTACTTCCTCATCACAGTGGTATCAGAGCTAGGTTGGTCTTTTCTATCCCCTCTCAGTGTTCTTTACTTGTAATAGTTAAAAGATGGAGGTGGAGGGTAAGTTGAGTACGAGTGGTACCCAAGGGCAACAAATTGCTTGATTTGTTGAGCAGCAAGAGACCACAGCAAGGATTGTGGAGGCCTTGTGGGCCTACTGAACCTACTACAAGTTGAGTCCATTAGCTTATGAGAGGAAATGGAGGCAAGAGTGACCTAGGTAGGGAAATAGGCCCAAGAGGTCGTAAACATAGGGGAGCCCCTCTCAAGAAAGCTTGATGAGGAACTCCAATCAATAAATGATCAGAAGGGGAAGATGGCTACGTCTTATGAATCTTAGAAGAGGGAAATTTCTACACTATAGACATCGTTTGTGGAATGGATGGCTGGCTTACAACACAAAATAGAGGAGGTAGTGAACAACCTCCAAATGAGGAATTCTAATACCCTAAGTGATGTGACTTAGTTGTTGTATAGTAAATCACTCAAATTTAAAATTTATAAAACTAGAAAATACTAATTTTTAAATATTTAAAAGTATTTCTGAATAAATATATCAATTATAATTTAATTAAAGTTTTAAAAATAGTAATAATTTTCTAAGTTGATCATAGGAATGTAATATAATATTAGGTAATTTTTCAGAATTTTCCTCAAAGAATATAAGTTTTTACAAATTTTAGATAAGTAATATAAAAAAATTTATTTAAACTTCGTAAAAAATGAAAATAAGGATACAGACATCAAGATGACATCATCACCTGATGATGCAAATCAAACAAAAATAGAGTTTTACCAGGTGATTCCTACGTAAGTGATTATATACGATTTAATTGATTAAATTAAGATTTGTGAAAGCTAAAAGAATCATAATTTAATGAAGAATAATTTGATAAATTTAAATCACACAAATTATCCAGAGTGATAATTATGTTGAAAATAGGAAAATAGAGTTCCGGTGTTTTGGCGGTGATGTGTCGACAATACACCGGAATCTTGAGTATTTGGAAAGATTGTTGTGTAGTGTTCATGGCCTCGAAGTCTCTCCTTAGACGACAACAACATGGGTAATTTTTTAATCTTCTTGCGAAGTCTAGATATTAACGAAATAGGTCGTTGATAAGTCTTAATTATCATGAGTTAATAATTAGTAAATAATATAATTTTAGCCTTAACTCATAATAAATAGACTTATATTCATGTTAAAGTGTGAAAAGTACTTTTCAATTGATTAACGTGAATTTTTGGGTAATTATGTGATTTTATACGATTTTTACAGTCTTACTTTTGAGATAAATGAAGAACAAGAAATAAAAATAAAAATATTACAAAATGGGGGGACCCGCCGACCAGCTGGGCCTGTAAGCGGGTCGGAAGCGCAGTCGAGGAGTAGCTGCGAGCAGGGGCTCGAGCGGCTTGAACCGATGGGGGCACGTGTGCGCCACTCCCCTTCCATGTCACTGGTGGCCAGCCAGCTATAGGGCAAGGTGTGGTCGTACACGCGCGAGAAAGGGACTTTGCTTAGAAATGTAACATTACTATATATTCGCCCGAAAATTCAGCACACAACTGATGTGGGACTAAACCCGTCACCTTCCTCAAAAGAGGCGGGGGCAACCGGCACGAGTTCGAATCCTCCCAGAGCCAAAACTCATATTTTTATCTAATTATCGTGACTTTCCTGCAAATCGCCGGTGAAGCATTAAGCAACCAGAATCGCTGGATCATTGGCGAAAATCTCGTCAACGCGATTCGCGGAGCATTGTTACTCAAATTGCTGAAGGATTCGCGATAAAAGGATAGCGAATCCATCGAGTAAATCATCTCCGATTGATCGACAAACAAGCCGTCGTCGGGAAGAGGACGATCCGCTGGGAGACGAGTTGCCACCTCCTGAGAGCGTACTAGATGCAATGAAGAGCCTCCTCTTGCTACGCAGACCTGAGGATGAAGCTCCTTGACATGCTCCCCACCTCCATCCAACTCCTCTACATCGGGTGACAGCCGCCGAAGAGCCGCAAAGTTGTTAATTTTTCGCTCCGCCGGGTGACAGCCGCCGGAGACGAGTCGACAACCCATTTCATTAATCTCTAGACTTTGCAAGGAGATCTGGAGATTGCCCATGTCGTCTTTGTCTAAGGAGAGCCTTCGAGGCCGTGGACACTACACGACGATCCTCCCGAATGCTCAGGATTCTGGTGCATTGTCGACGCATCGCCGTCGCGACGCTAGAACTCTGTTTTCCTACTTTCAACTTAATTTACGCTTCATTTAGTGATACTTTGTGTGATTTTAATTTACCAAAATATACTTCGTTCAATTACGATTCTTCCGGCTTTTGCAGATCTTAATTTGATTAATTAAATCATCTGTAATCGCTTACGTAAGAATCGCCGAGCGGAACTCTGTTTCTGCCCGATTTGCATTCACCGGGTGCTGACGTCATCCTGACGTCCGCACCCTTATTTCCTTTTTTTCGTGAATTTTAAATATATTTCCTTTTCATTTCCTAGTATAAAATTCATAGAAAATCGTATTCATTGAGGAAAAATCTGAATAATTACCAAATATTATATCACATCCTTGTGATCGACCTGGAAAATTACCGCTATTTTTTGGAAGTTTTGTTGAATTATAATTGATATATTTGTTCAGAAATACTTCTAAATATCTAAAAAATCGTATTTTCTAGTTTTATAAATTTTAGATTTGCGTGATTTAATATACAATGATTAAGTCACGTCAAATTTTGGTGCCGTTGCTGGAGATGTATTGCATAATATTTAGTATTTTTCTATTTTTCTCTTAGAGTACATAAAAAAAATATAACTCTTGTTTTATTTTCTTTTTGCTGATTTTTTTTTAAGAAAAAGGGAACGAAAAAAAGCAAGGCAAGGACTGGAGCATACTGAAGGAGGGTAACAATTATTAAACTTTTCTCTCGAATTTATTGATTTTTTATGCATGGTAGAAGATCCTTGCATCCAAGGCTAGAAAATCCTTTCATTATTTCATTCAAGATTAAAAATCTGAAAGAAAAATTAATTTTGATGGATCCTGAAGGAAGTACAGGTCAAACTGAGAACAATCCTATGGCCATGAAAAATCATTATATCCCTGATTCATTTCAAAGAGCATCAAATATTAGAGTCCCATTAGCACCCACTGTTAAATTCAAAATAAATCCAGGAATTTTTCAAATGCTCCCTAATTTTCATGGATTGCCTTTAGAGGAACCTCATCAGCACTTAGAAAAATTTCATATGGTCTGTGATTTAGTTAATCTCCCTCAAGTTACACCGGAAATTATTAAGATGAAATTATTTCCTCATACACTTAGGGACAAAGCTAGCCATTGGCTATCCACATTAGATAGAGAATTAACTAGCTGGAAAGACATAGAACATGCCTTTCTTTGAAAATTTTATCCCTTAAAAAAAACCCAAAATATAAGAAAACATATATGGAGTTTTTCTCAAAAATCAGGAGAAACTTTACATGAGACATGAGAAACATTCAAAGATTTACTTAGAAAGTGTCCTCATCATGCTATACCCAAGTGGCAGCTCAATAGAATTTTTTATGATGGATTATTAGAACAACATAGAAATATGGTTGATTCTATATGTGGAGGAGCTTTTATGGAGAAAACCCCTGATGAGATTTACAATTTTTATGAGAATTTAAGTGAAAATTCTAGAGATCAAGCCTCTTTTGAATTATATGATAGGGATAAGAAGAGAGGAATTTATGAATTGCATCATGATGATGATTCTAAACTTAGAAATGAGGTTAATCAGATTAATCAAAGATTAGAAAAACTTGATTTACTTATTGACAATATTAGAAAGCTTCTTAACCCTCAATTTAATTCAAATAATAGATGTCCTATGTATAGTGAGAATGATTATTCTGAATTTCAATGTTATAATTTAGATTAATCATTTCACCCTAAGCAAGAACAAGTGCAAGTAGCTCATGGTTTTAATAGAAATAGGGAACCTTTTTCAAATTCTTATAATCCTAATTGGAGGAATAATTTTTCATGGAGAGACCCAAATAATATTTAAAATCCAAAAGCACTTAGACCCAATTCAAACTCTAAATTTAGTCCAAAACAAGAAAACAGATTTCAAAAAAATCTGCCCTCTCAAACCCAACCTGATACTATGGAAATGATGCAGCAAATGAGCCAAATGATGCAACAAACTATGAATCAAATGATGCTGCACCAGAAACAAATTATACAGGCCTTTGGGAATAAGAGAGAAGAGGGACAGCTACCTAGTCAGCCCATAAAAAATTCAGGGAACTGTCCAACAATAGGATTTCAGCAAGGGGAGTCTAGTAGCATGAATCTAGGAAAAAACCCACGAAATGAAAATGTTAGGACAGTGAATACATTAAGGAGTGGTAAGATCTTACCTAATCCTTATCCCCAAACATTAGAAGAAAAAGAAAATGTGGACAACCCAAAACAAAATCAAATAGGAGTAGAAGAGGATTTTATAGATTCTACCAAGAAAATTTCGAAAGAGAGGACAACCATTCCATTTCCTAAAGCTCTAGAGCCTAGACAAAGAAAGAAAAAGGAACACAATGAAGAAATAAAGAAAATTTTACAAGATGTGCAAATTAGTCTTCCTTTACTCACTGCCATTGAACATATTCCTGAATATACTAGAGTTTTGAAAGAGATGTGTACACCAAAAAGGGCACCTAGAGTAGAAAAATTATCTATGCATGCTAGTGCATTATTATTAAATCAATTACCATATAAATTGAGAGATACAAGTGTCCCTTTAATTTCGTGTGATATTGGTGGATCCATTTTTCAGAATGCATTACTTGACACCGGTGCTAGTATTAATTTATTACCTGTAAGTATTTGTGATAAATTTAATATTTCTGATATTAAACCTTCTACTATTACCTTACAATTTGCTGATAGATCCATAAAACATCCTAAAGGTATTTTAGAAAATGTGATAGTGATAGTTAAAGGGTGTAAATTTCCAGCTGATTTTGTAGTGCTGGAAATGGATTTTAATGGACAGTTTTATGATACACCAATCATCCTAGGGAGACCATTTTTGCATACAGCAAAGATGAATATTGATTTTTCCACAAGTATTACGAAAATTTCATGTGGAGATCAATCAGTAGAAATTAAAATTTTTGAGGTATCAAATGATCTTAAGAAATCCCAAGTATATGATTGTCATATCATAGATCTTCTAGATGATTTTGATGATCCAGATGTTATTGATGACTGTGTGCTGGAAGAATTAGAGGAAATAGAGAATATAAATTTGGAAGAAAAGAAAGAGGAAGATCATCTGAATTTAGAGTTGAAACCTCTTCCCTCTAGTTTAAAATATATGTTTTTGGAGGAAAATAATTCATTTCCTGTTATTATTGCAGCTGATTTGAGTGATGAACAGGAAGAAGAATTATTAGATGTACATCGAAAAAATAAGAAGGCTATGGGCTGGAAAATAGACGATCTAAGGGGCATTGATATGAGTATATGCATACATAGTATATATCTAGAGGAGGGGGCTAGAACTAGCAAGGAACCACAACGAAGATTAAATCCTAACATGATGGAAATTGTAAAAAAAGAAATTTTAAAGTGGCTGGCTGTTGATATTATTTATCCTATTTCAGATAGCAAATGGGTTAGTCCTACACAAATAGTGCCAAAAAAATCAGGGATCACGGTTATAAAAAACGAAAATGGGGATGAAATACAAACAAGATTAACTACCGATTGGAGGGTTTGCATTGATTATAGAAAATTAAATTTAGTTACTAGAAAAGATCATTTTCCCCTACCATTTACTGATCAAATTCTAGAAAAATTAGCTGAAAATTTATTTTTTTGTTTTCTAGATGGATACTCTGGTTATAATCAAATTTATATAAACCCTTTAGATCAAGAAAAAACAACTTTCACTTGTCTATTTGGTACTTTTGTTTTTAAACGCATGCCTTTTGGTTTGTGTAATACTCCAACCACATTTCAAATATGTATGTTGTCTATTTTTTCTGATATGATTGGAAAATGCATGGAAATTTTAATGGACGATTTTTCTGTTTTTGGTGAATCATTTGATGAATGCTTAAATCATTTACAGCATGTACTTGAGAAATGCATAGAGAAAAAATTAGTTTTGAGTTGAGAGAAATCACATTTTATGGTTAGAGAGGGAGTTGTGTTGGGTCATATTGTGAGTGAAAGTGGTTTAGAGGTGGATAGAGCAAAAATTGATATTATATCTAAAATAAAACCTCCAAATTCAATAAAATAGATTAGAACTTTCTTGGGTCATGCAGGTTATTATAGAAAATTTATTTAAGATTTTTCAAAAAATTCTAAACCTCTCACCATGCTATTATCTAAAGATGTGCCTTTTAATTTTGATGAGAAATGTTTTGAGTCTTTTTCTGAAATAAAAAGATTACTTACTGAGGCACTTATTTTACAAGCTCCTAATTGGTCCCTTCCTTTTGAAATAATGTGTGATGCATCAAATTATGCAGTGGGGGCCATTCTAGGACAAACAAAAGAGTCAAAACCCATAGTAATTTCATATGCTAGTAAAACTATATCCGATGCTCAATTAAATTATACCACGACTGAAAAAGAGTTGTTAGCTATAGTATTTTCATTAGAAAGGTTTAGATCATATATTTTGGGAGCTAAAATTATTATTTATACTGATCATGCAGTATTAAAATATCTGTTAAATAAGAAAGATGCAAAGCCACATTTATTAAGATGGATTTTATTGTTATAGGAATTTGACTTAGAAATAAAAGATAAAAAAGGTTTCACGAATGTTGTTGCTGACCATCTTTCTAGATTAAGTGATACAGGAATAAATGTAGCACCTTTACAAGATGCATTTTCAGATGAACAATTGATGGCAGCTCAACATCAACCATCACCATGGTATGCACATATTGTTAATTTTCTGGTTTCTAGAAAAACTCCAGAATAGTGGGATAAGAATAGAAAACATCATTTCTTTTCTAAGATTAGAAATTATTTTTGGCATGATCTTGATTTATATTAGTTGGGCAATGATCAAATTTTAAGGAGATGTATTCCTGAAGAAGAATATCATAACATTATTAACATGTGCCATTCATCTAATTGTGGAGGACATTTCTCTGGACGAAAAACAGCTGCAAAAAAATTTCAGTGTGGTTTTTATTGGCCTACAATCATTAGAGATTCTATAGAATTTAGTAGAACATGTATTTCATGTCAATCTATAGGTAACATGAGTAAAAAAGATGAAATACCCATGAGTAACATGTTAGTAGTTAAAAATTTTGATGTATGGGGAATAGATTTCATGGGTCCCTTCCCATTAGCTGAAAAATATGAATATATTTTTCTTGCTGTTGATTATGTGTCGAAGTGGGTGGAAGCTATTCCTACTAGAACTAATGATCATAAAATCGTAATGAAATTTGTGCAGAAAAATATTTTTTCGAGATTTGGATGTCCTAGAGTAATTATTAATGATGCAGGAACACATTTTACAAATAAACATTTCAGGGAACTATTGAAAAAAAATGGAGTACACCATAGAGTAGCCACTCCATATCATCCCCAAACAAATAGGCAAGCTGAAGTAGCAAACAAGGAAATTCAGAGAATTTTGAGAAAAATAGTTAGACTAGATAGAAAAGATTGGCCCACAAAATTACAAGATGCATTATGGGCTTATAGAACAGCTTATAAAAATCCCATAGGTATGTCCCCATTTCGTCTCATTTTTGGAAAGCCATGTCATCTTCCTGTGGAAATAGAGCATAAAGCATTATGGGCTATAAAAAATTTATGTATGAATGAAAAATCAACTGGTGGGCATAGAATTTTTCAGCTACATGAACTAGAGGAGTTGAGGAATGAAGCTTATGAAAATCATAGAATATATAAAGAAAAAACTACAACTTTTCATGATAAATACATTAGCAGAAAAAAAATTGATGTTGGACAAAAAGTGTGGTTATATGATTCTAGGCTGAAATTATTCCCAGGAAAAGTAAAATCAAAATGAAAAGGGCCTTATGTGGTGGAAGAGACATATGATCATGGGGCTGTAATGATTAAAGATCCTAAAAGTGATCATAACTTTAAGGTAAATGGACCGGCTTAAACATTACATAGAACATGAACGCCTTGCAGAAAAATAAAATTTATTATTAAAAGAAATTCAAGACTAAGATCAAGGAGTCCAGCTGGAGACATTAAATTCAGTGCTACATGAGAGGCAACCCATGGTTTTTATTTTATTCTGTTTAATTTTTTTAAGCTCTGCTTTTCTTAGAATTTCGCAATACTTGTTTTTGTATTTGTTTTTTCGAAAAAGTGCAAGAGGAGGAGTGTAAGATGAAGTGGAAAATTAAAAACGAGGTTGAGGTGATGTCTTTCTGAGCTTTATCATTTATGACAATATTTTTAATACTTAACTTTGCATATATGCATGCTTCACTTGAAAATTATATTTTCTGCATATTTCATTTTGAGTTTTCTGTGTCATTGAGGACAATGTCATTTTTAAGTTGGGGGGTGAAATATTCATTATTAATTTATGTTGTAGGATGATTAAGAACATGTGTTTGTATTAGAACAACAACTGAAAAAATAAAAAATAAAATAAAATTCGGAAAAACTGCAACATCTATTTTCTAGTTTTCTGTTAGGAACAACAGACTATCAAAAACAGCAGACAAAAAATAGCCCGAAATTTGAAATTCTAGAGACCCTTTTCTCACATTTCAATCCCCTAGACATATATTACTGAAATTCGAAATTACAGCTATAAAGAGGATAGTTTTGATTTATTTATGACAAATTTATTGTTGCAAAAAACAGAACTGAAAACAGAAAATGAACTGTCAGAACTATCTAATTTATAAATTTCTTACATCATATTGCATGCATGAAAAATTAAATCAATTAGATTGATTGATACCAAAAGATACTAGGAAGATTATTATTGAGTCAAAAGAATGATCTAATAGCATGAAATGTGGGAATACTCCTTGGATACATGATAGATAACATGGATTTGATTTTACAGATTCTCACTTCATGATCTTGATAGATAATATTTACTTGATATGAAAATTTGAGTGATCATTTGAGTTTAATAGAGATTTTTGCACCCTGATCTATAAGACTTATGAGGAGAAATCACTTATTTTGAAAAAAAGAAAGAGAGCAATGTGAAAAATCTAGAAACGAAGAGTACACATGGAGGGTGTGAGACATCATTCTCATTGTCGAAAATTGTGTATAGAAAAACACTTGCTGCAAAATAAGTGGATAAAGTGAAAGCCCTGAAAATGAAGAGTACACATGGAGGGTGTGAGACATCATTCTTATTGTCGAAATTTGTCTACAAGAAAAGCTACTTATCCACTATATATATATTAAGAAAAAAAAAAAAGAATGAAGAAATATAGTGCACACTTCAAAAATCAAGCCATAGAAAAAGGGAAATGTAGGATCTATATTATTCTTGGATGATTATTGATAATTGGAACATCTTGTAAATATATCTATGATTGAAGAAGTGATAAAGATGTGAATAGAAGAAGTGAAGTCTAGATTGTTATTCCAAGGAGTGCTTAAACATTTAAGTGCTTGACATCATTCTTAAATACTTGATATAAGAGTCCAAAGTGTCTAAAGGTGCATCATTTCTAATTGTATTTTTTTATGTATTGAAATATGATGTTTGAGATTTTTATTTTTGTAATTCCATTGCTAAGGGACTAGCAATGGTTTAAGTTGGGGGGTGTGATAAGTCTTCATTATCATGAGTTAATAATTACTAAATAATATAGTTTTAGCCTTAACTCATGATAAATAGACTTATATTTGTGTTAAAGTGTGAAAAGTGGTTTTCAGTTGATTAATGTGAATTTTTGGGTAATTATGTGATTTTATACAATTTTTACAGTCTTACTTTTGAGATAAATGAAGAACAAGAAATAAAAATAAAAATATTACAAAATGGGGGGACCCGCCGACCAACCGGGCCTGCAAGCAGGTCGGAAGCGCAGTCGGGGAGTAGCCGCGAGCAGGGGCTTGAGCGGCTTGAACCGATGGGGGCACATGTGCACCACTCCCCTTCCATGTCACCGGTCACCAACTAGCTGTGGGGCAAGGTGTGGTCGTACACGCGTGAGAAATGGACTTTCCTTAGAAATGTAACATTACTATATATTCGCCCGAAAATTCAGCGCACAACTGATGTGGGACTAAACCCGTCACCTTCCTCAGAAGAGGGGGGGCAACCGGCACAGGTTCGAATCCTCCCAAAGCCAAAACTCATATTTTTATCTGATTATCGCGACTTTCTTACAGATCGCCGGTGAAGGATTAAGCAACCAGAATCGTTGGATCATCGGTGAAAATATCATCAACGCAATTCGCGTAGCATTGTTACTCAAATTGCTGAAGGATTCGCGATAAAAAGATCGCGAATCCATCAAGTAAATCATCTCCGATTGATCGACGAACAAGCCATCGTCAAGAAGAGGACGATCCGCCGGGAGACGAGTCGCCACCTCCTGAGAGCGTACCAGATGCAATGGAGAGCCTCATCTTGCTGTGCGGACTTGAGAATGAAGCTCCCTAACATGCGCCCCACCTCCATCCAGCTTCTCTAAGTCGTGTGACAGCCGCCAAAGAGCCGCAAAGTTGCTGTTTTTCCGTTCTGCCGGGTGAGAGCCGCCAGAGACGAGTCGACAACTTATTTCATTAATCTCTAAACTTCGCAAGGAGATCTGGAGATTGCCCACGTCGTCTTTGTCTAAGGAGAGCCTTTGAGGCCGTGGACACTGCACGACGATCCTCCCGAATGCTCAAGATTCTGGTGCATCGTCGACGCATCGCCGTCGCGACGCCAAAACTCTGTTTTCCTGCTTTCAACTTAATTTACGCTTCATTTAGTGATACTTTGTGTGATTTTAATTTACCAAAATATACTTCGTTCAATTACGATTCTTCCGGCTTTTATAGATCTTAATTTGATTAATTAAAACGTCTATAATCGCTTACGTAAGAATCGTCGGGCGGAACTCTGTTTCTATCCGATTCGCGTTCTCCGGGCACTGACATCATCCTGATGTCCGCATCGTTATTTCCTTTTTTTCATGAATTTTAAATATATTTTTTTTTCATTTTCTAGTATAAAATTCATAGAAAATCGTATTTATTGAGAAAAAATCTGAATAATTACCAAATATTATATTACATCCATGTGATTGACCTGGAAAATTACCGCTATTTTTGGAAGTTTTGTTGAATTATAATTGATATATTTGTTCAGAAATACTTCTAAATATTTAAAAAATCATATTTTCTAGTTTTATAAATTTTAGATTTGCGTGATTTAATATACAATGACTGAGTCACGCCAGTCGTGAAATCGTCTGCAGCGGCTGTCACCCCGCAAAGTGAAAAAATGACAAGTTCGTGGCTTTTCAACGACTATCACCTGACAGAGAAGAGCTAGATGGAGGTGAGGCGCATGTTAGGGAGCTTCATTCTCAAGTCTGCGTAGCAAGAGAAGACTCTTAAGAGGTGGCCACTCGTCTTTTAGTAGATTGTCCTCTTCCCGACGACAACTTGTTTGTTGATCAATCGATGCTTTACTCGATGGATTCATGATCCTTTTGTCACGAATCGTTTAACAATTTTAGTAACAATGCTCTACGAATTGCATCAACTAGATTTTTGCCGATGATCGAACGATTCTGGCAGCTTAATCCTTCACCGGCAATCTACAAGAAAGTCATGATTTAATTAGATAAAAATATGAGTTTTTAGCTCTAATAGGATTCAAACCCACACCGGTTGCTCATCTACATAAGAGAGTTTGAATTAAATACTATAATGCCTTTATAAAATGACATCATCATGGTATATCTCTATTATAACTAAGGGGTATTTTAGGTATTAAAATAATAAAAATATTCTGAGGAAGGTGTGACCGCCGGTTTAGTCCCACATTGGTTGTACACTGAAGTTTTGGGTGAATATATAATGATATTAGATTTCCAAGTAATGAGTCTCTTTCTCTCATGTGTATGACCACTCCTTGTCCCATAGTCAACTAGCCACCGCTAGCATGAAAGGAGAGTGGCGCACATGTGCCCCCATTGGTCCACAGCTGCTCGAGCCTTTACTCGCAGCTCCCCCCAACTACGCTTCCGACCTAGTTTAATTAGCCAAAAATTCACATTAATCAACTAAAAACTATTTTTCACAATTTAACATAAATATAAGTCTATTTATTATGAGTTAAAGATAAAATTATATTATTTATTAATTATTAACTCATGATAATAAAGACTTATCACTAAGACCCCAAGATCAAAGTTTGGCCCCCTAACCATCTTGGGTCAAAGCATTGGAGCCCAAACCTTACTCAGGTAAGAGGGATACAATGTTAATTGAAAACTTTCTTTGAGATTTACAAAGGTACTTGAATGCAAGTACCTCGTTGGAGGAGAAGGTTTTTCTTGACACCTTATTCCTTGTAGGGCATGCCAAGACATGGTGGTGACTTCAATTAGAGGGCAAGTCAAGACTGATAGTGACATGTTGGGACAAGTTGACTAAAGAAATCTACGGATAATTTTGACTTGTCAACTCAGGACAAAATACTCAAACAACAATGAGATAATTGAAGCACATAGAAGAAGTTTTCGATGGTCTTGTTAGAAGTACCACAAATGAATGAAGAAGACAAACTCCATTACTTTATGGAAGGGCTGCAAATATGGGCTCAAAATGAACTTCACCGATAGGGTACTTGATAAGTCTTCATTATCATGAGTTAATAATTAGTAAATAATATAGTTTTAGCCTTAACTCATGATAAATAGACTTATATTTGTGTTAAAGTGTGAAAAGTGGTTTTCAGTTGATTAATGTGATTTTTTGGGTAATTATGTGATTTTATACGAATTTATATGATTTTTATAGTCTTACTTTTGAGATAAATGAAGAAAAAGAAATAAAACTAAAATATTGCAAAATGGGGGGGACCCGCCGGCCAGCCGGGCCTGCAAGCGGGTCGAAAGCTCAATCGGGGAGTAGCTGCGAGCAGGGGCTCGAGCAGCTCGGACCGATAGGGGCACGTGTGCGCCACTCCCCTTCCACGTCACCGGTGGCCAGCCGGCTATGGGGCAAGGAGTGGTCGTACACGCGAGAGAAGGAACTTTGCTTAAAAAGCTAACATTACTATATATTCGTCTGAAAAATCAGCGCACAACCGATGTGGGACTAAACCCGCGTCACACCTTCCTCAGAAGGGGCGGACAACCGGCGCGGGTTCGAATCCTCCCAGAGTCAAAATTCATATATTTTTATCTGATTATCGCGACTTTCCTGCAGATCGCCGGTGAAGGATTAAGTAACCAGAATCACTGGATCATCGGCGAAAATCTCGTCATCGCGATTCGCGGAGCATTGCTACTAAAATTGCTGAACGATTCGCGATAAAAGGATCGTGAATCCATCGAGTAAATCATCTCCGATTGATCGACGAACAAGCCGTCGTCAGGAAGAGGACGATCCACCGGGAGACGAGTCGCCACCTCCTGAGAGCGTACCAGATGTGATGAAGAGCCTCCTCTTGCTGCGCGGATTTGAGGATGAAGCTCCCTAACACGCGCCCCACCTCCATCCAGCTCCTCTCCGTCAGGTGATAGCCGCTAGAGAGCCGCAAAGTCACCGTTTTTCCGCTCCGCCGGGTGACAGCCGCCGGAGACGAGTCGACAACCTATTTCATTAATCTCTAAACTTCGCAAGAAGATCTGGAGATTGCCCACGTCGTCTTTGTCTAAGGAGAGCCTTCGAGGCCATGGACACTGCACAACGATCCTCCCGAATGCTCAAGATTCTGGTGCATCGTCGACGCATCACCGTCGCGACGCCGGAACTTTGTTTTCCTGCTTTCAATTTAATTTACGCTTCATTTAGTGATACTTTGTGTGATTTTAATTTATCAAAATATACTTCGTTCAATTACGATTCTTCCGGCTTTTACAGATCTTAATTTGATTAATTAAATCGTCTATAATCGCTTACGTAAGAATCGCTGGGCGGAACTCTGTTTCCGCCCGATTCGCGTTCGCCGGGTGCTGACATCATCCTGAAGTCCGCACCCTTATTTCCTTTTTCTCGTGAATTTTAAATATATTTCCTTTTCATTTCTTAGTATAAAATTCATAGAAAATCGTATTAATTGAGAAAAAATCTGAATAATTACAAAATATTATATTACATCCCTGTGATCGACCTTGGAAATTACTGCTATTTTTGGAAGTTTTATTGAATTATAATTGATATATTTATTTAGAAATACTTCTAAATATCCAAGAATTCGTATTTTCGAGTTTTATAAATTTTATATTTGCGTGATTTAATATACAACGACTAAGTCACGTCAGGGACCCATGAAGTCTATATTTCATACATCAAAATTTTATCTAAAAATATGTTACTCATGGGCATTTCATTTGTTTTATTCATGTAACCTATAGATTGGCATGAAATACATGTTCTACTAAATTCTGTAGAATCTATAATTATTATAGGTTAAAAAAATCATATTAAAAAAAATTATAATTATTTTTCATTTAGAAAAATGACCTCCACAATTAGATGAATGGTGCATGTTAAGAATACTATGATTCTTCTTCGATAACACATCTCCTTAAAATTTGATCATTACTCAAGTAATATAAATCAGGATCATCTTAAAAATAATTTATAATCTTAGAAAATGAATATTTTTTTCTGTTCTTATCTCACTCTTCTAGAATTTTGTCAAAAACTAGAAAATTGACAAGATGTGTATACCACGGTGATGGTTGATGTTGAGTTGTCATCAATTATTCATCTAAAAATGCATCTTGTAAAGGTGATGTATTTATTCTTGTATCACTCAATCTAGAAAGATGGTCAACAATAACATTCTTGGAACTTCTTTTATCTTTTATTTTTCAGTTAAATTCCTACAGTAATAAAATTCATCGTAATAAATGTGACTTTGCATCTTTTTTATTTCATAAATATTTAAATACTACATGATCAATATAAATAATAATATTAACTCCTAAAATATATGATCTAAACCTTGCTACGAAAATATTACAACTAGCAACTTTTTTTCAATTGTGATATAATTTATTTGAGCATTAGATATAGTTTCACTAGCATATAAAATTACTAGGGGTTTGGACTTTATACTTAGTATGGCTCCCACTACATAATTTCATACATCACACATTATTTCAAAAGGAAGAGACCAATCAAGAGCTTATAAAATTGGTGCTTTAGTAAATAATCTTTTTTTTCAAAAAAGAACTTTAAAAAATTATCATCAAAATTAAAAGGCACATCTTTAGATAATAACATGATTAGAGGTTTAAAATTTTCAAAAAATATCAAAAATAAGATTATAAAAATTATATAAATTTGTATAAAATCACATAATTAATTAAAAATTCACATTAACTAACTAAAAACTACTTTTCACAATTTGACATAAGTATATATTAATTTATTAGGAGTTAAGATTAAAACTATATTATTAATTAATTATTAGCTCTTGATAGTAAAAACTTATTAATTATCAACAAGTGGAAGTATGTGCTTGATCTATTATAGGATGTAGGGATGTTAGGCACCAAAGTTACTCTTACACTGATGAATCTAAAGGTCAAGTTACTCTAGATTCTAGTGATGTTCTTGAGGATCTGAGATAATTACGTCACTTGGTGGGACAATTAAACTACTTAACCTTGACTCATCTGGACATTTCTTTTTCTACGTGTGGTCAGCTAGTTTATAACCAATCCATGCACTACTAACTGGGATGCAATCATGAGAATCCTTCTGGATTTGAAGAGACATCATGGCCGAGGACTTTTGTACAAGTTTTCTTCTTTTGTTGATGTTTATGATTATTATGATGCCGATTGGACAGGCTCTTCTATCGATCAACACTCCACCACTAGCTATTGTACCTTTTTGTGAGGTAATCTTATCTCATTGAAGAGCAACAAGTAATAGTTGTTGTGCTATCTAGTGCTGAATCTGAATATTATGCTATGCAGAGTGTTGCATCCAAACTTATTTGGGTATGCAAGTTTCTTATGGAGCTTGACTTTGTCATTTTTAGCCTATGCGTCTCTTCTACGACAATCAGTTTGTGCTTCATATTACTATTAGTCCTGTTTTACATGAATAGATGAAACATATTGAGGTTGATTGTTACTTTATCTAGGAGAAGCTTTAGGCTAACTTAATTATCCTAACTAGGGTGTCTTCAAAAGCAGAACTTGCAAACATACTTACAAAGGCTCTCCATAGTCCTTGATTGAATTCCCTTTACTCCAGGCTTAGACCTTTTCATCTTTATGCACCAACTTGAGGGGGGCTGTAGAGATATATATGTATATATGATTATAGGCCTGGCCCACTTTCTCTCTCCTCACCCCTATTTGTATAGGGCTTCCGGCCTCTTTTTATTTTTTTAATATGATTTCTCTCCTCAAGAAATAGTTTTTAATTACATAACTCATATATGGAGTTAAATAGTCATATAGATAATAGTATTAAAAATTATCTAATTTATTAAGTCAACTTATGTTTACTTGATCAAAATCCAGCTATTTAGTATTAATGAAAGGCTATTGCTCTTCATTTGTCACTCAACCTATTTTGGTTGATGACATTATTTCAGATGGACCTTCAATATTAGTTGACAATCCTTTCTTGAATTTAACCATCTTGATGCTTTTGAATATTTTTTGGTTTACAACTTACTTTTTTTCAACATGCATCACTGTCTCAATGATGTTATATTTTTCAAAGACTTGAAGGTACTAGATTTTCTTAATTTTAAAATCCAATATTTGTCCTCTAGACCCTTAACTATAATTCAGTTGTATATTTGATGGACTATATTATTAATTACATCAGTCATCTAGATAATTATATTTAGAGCTATCTAATTATTATATTGAATGTAGAGTTAATTAAAATCTACCTATTTGTTGTTCACAAAGAGATTTTCTTTCTCAAATGTGGTGCTACTTGTCTATATTGTCAATACTATATCACATGGACCTTTACTTTTAGTCCTCAATACATTGAAAGATTTTTGGCATACAATCATGTTGACACATTCAAATTCTTTTTAGTTCAAAAATTACATATTCTTTAACATGCATCATTTCTTCTCAATGCTTGGATATTTTTAAATGACTTTAAGATAATGTGTTTCTTAATTATAAGGCAATCATTGTTCCTTTAAACCTTCAACTTCAATTTAATATCACAAAAAGAAGTAGTTTGCAAATTACATAAGTCAATTTGTGAACTTAAATAATCATACATATAATAGTATTTTAAATTATATAATTAATTCGTTAAATTTATATTTACTCAATCAAATTTGACTATTTATTGAAGAGCTCCCCTTATTTATTTGTTGCTCTACTTGTCTATGTCCTTGACATTATATAACATGGACTTTCACCTTCTATGCTCAATGCTTGAAATACTTTTCTACATGTAAGCATCTAGACACTTGAAAATATTTTATAGGTTTACTTGCTACATGTTTTCAATATGCATCATTTTGTCTCAAGGATATTATATTTTACAATAACTTGAAGATATTGTCTTTCTTAGTTTTAAACCTACAATTTCTCGACTACAATTTAATTCTATGACTACATAATTAGTTTTAAAGTTATATACATCAATTTAAATGCACCAATAAGTATCAAAA